GGTTTTGCCATCTTGGAACCAGGAAAATACCAAATTATATTCTTAAAACTGAACATCTACAACATTCATTAATTTGATTTAAAAAAAGATTGTTGTCCTGATTTACATGCGTTTGTGTAGTACACATAGTGGTGCTTGCACAGTAGCTTAAAATGAAGTCTTACTCTTGTATATTGTGGGAGGGTGTGGGGCGTGGGGAGGGTATAGGTTTGTGGGGGGATGTGGGTGTGTGAGTATGTGGTGTGTGGGGGAGGGTATGGGTGTGGGAGGGGCTTGTGGGGAGTATGGGTGTGGGTGTAGGGTGATGGAGTATGTGTGTGGATGGGTGTAGATGTGTGGGGTGTGTATGGGGTTTGTGGGGGGAAGTGTGTGGGCAGAGGGAGGCTGGAGTGTGTGAGGGGTGTGAGGGTCTGCATGTATGGCAGTGCAAGGGGGGTGTGGTGCATGTGTATGGTGGGGTGGGACTAGCCCTATGAACACACACGTGTGCTCACACGCACGCACACACACACCTGTTCCTGGCCCCAGTACCTGGAGCCATCAGCAGCCAGCTAGAAGGCAGGGAAATGGCAGCTATACGCGGGGGGAAGTGGTAGCAAGCGGGAGCACAGGACCTGCCCTGGTGTCCCAGAGCCAGGACCATCATTTGAGAAGTCTTACTTTCTTGCATACATACATCCCTGAGTACAATATACACCTTATTTTTGAAAGGAAGAATGAAGAAAAAAATATTTTTTCCAGAGTTATGGTTGCATAGTTGCAGAGAGCCTAATTTTCAGCTTAGCCGTCTTCCCTTTCCTGCTTAACTTAAGTTGAAATAGGACCTAAACCTAAATAGGAAATAACACCTAAACAGCAAGATTGCCCTAAGAAAGGTTAGCTTGATAAATGATCACTACAAAGGAGAGACGATAGTTAAAGCCTCTGGAGTGAAGAACAGTGAGTCATGTCAGTTGACTCCCTCAGATGCTTAAATAGTACTGAAACAGCTGCTGCAGCATGTAGGAGGAATCAAAGTAGGGTGCTTCTATCCTTGGCAGAAAATTAGCTCACCTCCTTAATGCATGTACTCCAGTTTTAGGGGGTTAATTGTGAAGGAAAAGTTTCAAACTGTATGAAGGAAATTATGGTATTTTCTTCTTTCTCCTCAAGAGAACAGTAGGAAAGTATCACCACAGGTTCACTTAGTCCACATTCATGTGGCTTACTGCTCTGAAAAGGGAATCCAGGAGCCACCACTACAGATACAGTAGACCTCTGGCATCTCTGGGAAAGCAGTCATCTAGGCATCTGATCTCAGTCCCTTACCCCTGTGATATGGATGTACTGAGGTCTTTGGGGAAAACAAGCAAGTGAAGCAACTTTTACAGCCTACTGACCCCCTTAGAATAAATCTTCCTTCCTGTTTAAAGCTCTTAGACTTGCTAAACAGAGCTCGGTGCTGTGGGAAAAATACCTGCAGAAGACAGAAAACTATTTGAAGCAGTTATAGTCTCCTCTTCCTTGCTTGTCAGACACTAGTGCCCTTTCATAACTATACCATTTACATCACCGTGCTCAAGGTTTCACGCGCATTTTTGCACATACTTGTGGGTGGGGGTGGGGCACTTTACTTACAGTGGCTTTGAGAGCCGCTGTAATTAAAGTCTTCGTAGTGTCTTGTGTATCAGCATCCCTGTACTTCAAAATGACAGCTGGGGTGCTTTCAACCTCATTGAAGGAGCTTTATTTAGTTAAATTGCCCCTGCTGCCAGTTTGTAGCACAGGGACACAGATGCATGAGATGTGGAGGCTGCTGGAGTGCACTAATTTGTATGCTGTAGCAGACTAGTGGTGCACTGCTAGAGATTTTTGGGGCTGATACTGATAGACAATTTTTAAGGAGGCATATCAAACAATACCAATCTGATTTCTGATATCAGCCAGGCAGCTTGAAGAGCTGCATGCAGCTGATAAGTCTAGTGGGGTGGAAGGGAAGCAGGGGGTGGGGAGGAGTGGGAGTGGGGCAAGCGCTGCCCAGCTGGGGCAAGGTGGACATGGGACAGATCTGCAGTTCATCCAGAGGGCATGGGGAGGAGGGGGTGGGGCAGCTCCTGCCAGTGCAAGCAGCTCATCCTGGAGCCGCTGGTTTGGTGCTAACCTGGAGGTTCCCACTGCTGCTCCTGCCACTTGTCTGGGAGGGAATGGGGTGGGGGCATGTGCCTCTGGATCTGCGGGGGATGGGAGGAGCCCAGCTCAGCCCTGGCCCCAGCCTGCCCTGCCCTACACAGATCTGGGGGCACATGCCCCCCAGCCCCCAATGCCCTCCCAGATCAGTGGCAGGAGCAGTGGCAGGAGCCACTGGGTGAGTGCCAGACCAGTGGCTCCTGGACAAGCGGCACGCAGCAGCAGGAGCCTTCCCTCCTTCTCCCCGTACCTCCTGAAGGAGCTGCGGCTTCATCCCGGGCAGGGCAGGGCAGCACTTGCCACGGCCCCTGCCAGGCTGTGCTCCTTGCTGCCTGCTTGCTGCCTGCTTGCTGCACTGTGGCTGCGCACACGCACAGGCATTTATCAGCCAAATTTTTGGCCACGTCAGGCTGATGTCTGATAGGATCAATTTTCTTCATATCAGTGTCGATCTGATATGAGACCGATTGTATCGCTGCACCTCTATAGCAGACTCAAATCATGTTTGCTCTGACACGCTATAATTGCAATGTGTCGGATCAGCTTCCCCACATATCTTCAAGCACCCTGTGATTCCAGTCTTTTGGGATACCACAGAAGGCCCTGACAGTGATACAGGACCTCCTGTTTAAAGGTTATGCTCTGTTAAATCCAGCTGTGGAGGAAGTCCTATGTCCTGGAGTCCCATTTATTGAGAGCCTATATGCTAGAGACCTTAAGAGAAAGCAGGTAAATACTAGAACTTCACAAGGCAGAGGTTCTGGCTTACTGTTGTGCTCAGCAGAGGTTATCACAGCCACCAGGGAATCTCTGGGGTACAGGGGCATTCAGGGCATCCCTGGTACTGCTAACCTCCCCCCACACACACACATTTTTTTGCGCTCTTGGGAGTAGTCTTCTCCTCTTTTGTAGAATTTTGAGAGAACAACATTATGGTATTGCTAAAAAGCAGTAAATTGGTTGCTTTAATGACTCTCCTGTAAATTACCTCAAATGTAGCTGGCCCTTCTGCAGTGAAATTGTATAGCCAGTGTCCTGTTTAAATTTTTGAAGGTTCAACATTTGTGCCACGATACTTATTTTTGCTGTAAGATATCAAGACAAACCCTGTTATAAATGTTCCCTATTCACATCAAATTGATAGTCATGGTTACCTCTAGTTAATCATGTGCCATTGTGCCTGCGAGATGGAGCTGGCCACATGTTTGCTTTCTCTCCCTATAAATATTTAGTCAGAATTTGTTGCTCTTGTATGATCTCAGCATCTGTTCTGGTGCACCTGTGTCTGTCAGGCACGAAGAGGAGAAGCTGTTGTGCGATAGCATACCCAAGTCTGTGCAAAAGAGGGAATGGAAGGCTAAACCTGGAACTTCCTGGCCCACCACAAATCATAGAATCATGGATGTTTTTTGCATTGGGTGCCACAGCATCCAGTGCAAGTATCCTGATGTATGCTTGGCATAGGGCAGTGCTAAATCCCATGTTAGTTTCACTGCTGCTTCCTTCTTGTATCAGAACTCAATCTTTCTAGGTACTTTCTTTGCTAGTTATCTTACCAGTGGAAGCTCTTTTTTTCTACTCCCTGTTCCAAGTTGTCATTTTGCTTGCCTGGTGGTAAATCAGCAGTGAACTTTTTATGACATAACCTGTGTTTTTCATAAATGTATACTTAGCTACCTGATCTACCTTTGGATTTATCCATAACATGGTATTTCATTAGAGGTTAGCATTCCACATAGCTTTTGGGTTGTGAACCTGTCTTAGCCTTCCTTTGAGAGCCTGTAGGTTACCTGCTCATTTCAGCTGATGTCAGTACAGAGTTCCTTTTACAATGCAGAATTCCCTCTTCCACTGGCCCAGGATGATAAAGAAGCTTCTCCGTCTTTGAAGTCTCTGTCAGAGACTTCATGCTCTTATCACAGGAGCAGTTTAATGGGCCATAGACTCTGCCAGTGATGTTGCATGTGGTTAAACCAAAAGAAAAGCACTTTAGTCTGTGACTCAAAGGTTAAATTGGGAGGCTAAGAAGAACAGACCTCAGCAATTCTTTAATTATCAGGTTCTGCTTGCTAAAGAGTTAAATGCACTTGTTTTTTAATACAAAGAGACAGCCAGGACCAACATTCAGTTCCTTCCAGCTGCCAGTTCTCTCTTCTGTACAATTAGACAAAATCTACCTGTCTGATTTGTGGCTTTTCTTTTTCCCTTTCTACAGATAATTGGCCTCCTGAATGTTTTCACCCCACAGAAATCCCTGGAAGAATTTCAAGATGTGTAAGACTTTTTTTTTTACCTAGCTGAGAAATTATTGAATTGTTACAAACTAAGAGGTCTACTAAATGGATGTTACACAGTACTGCTATATTCTAATTACTAATTTGTTGTTGCTTCATAAGTTACATAGTGATGGAGCTTATGGATGCAAATCTCTGCCAAGTGATTCAGATGGAACTAGACCATGAACGAATGTCGTACCTTCTCTATCAGATGCTGTGTGGTATCAAACATCTTCACTCTGCTGGAATTATACATAGGGTGAGTTGGTATAGTTCACTTTTTTAATGTTTCTGTTCTTTTTGCCTTCAGTGTTAAGAAGCCAGGAAAGAGGGTTTTTTTTCATAGTAAAACCAAAAGATATGGTCTCTGCCTGATTTATATATGTAATATATAAGTACAAAGAATGATAACACGACTTAAAAATATTTTGCTCCACTCTAAGCTAAAGATAATGTAAATTTGAAGCAACATTTTGGAGCTGTTCTTCTCTTGATTCCAACTGCAATTTGGTAGATTTAAATAGGTCCAAATCTATGTAACAGGTTGCATTACCTCCTCTAATTTGCAGTAGAACATTTATCCAAGTGATTAACAGGAGGAAAATCTGGAGAGACTGCTTTTAGGACTATTTTACCTTTTTGTGTCTAAGTAGCCCTTTATGTGGCTGTGTAATGGCAGCTTTTGGCATTCATACAGATTTCTATTTCAGTTCCCACCTGTGGCAGAATAGGATTTCCCTATACATGTAAAACTGAGGAAAGACTTGGGGCCCTCCAGTCTTTTAGCCCCGGAGCCTGGGGACTAGGGCACTTGCTCCTGGAGTGAGAGACCCAAGTTCTAGGTGCCATCACTCAAAGGGGTTTTGAAGTTACTTCTGCCAAATCCCACTGATACCAGACCATGGGCTTGGCATTAGCCAGAGTACTTACCAGCCCTCCACTTGTAGCTGGCCCATTGCACCTTCAATTTAATATTCATTGGATAAAATGAATAAACAGGGAAAAGGAAAAAGGCTAAAACCCAGGCTTCCCTCCTTTCCAGGGCATTTTCTATCTCTTTTGAGATGTGCTCCCTTTTGCATTCTTCCTAGCCTTGTGCGTCTTCTACTCTTGGCTACCCAGTAGGTCAGCTTGAAGAGGAGGTTCTGGGTAGTGTGTTGGATAATGCCCAGCTCATGGCTTGGAAGTTAGGAAGTGTGGGGGTAAAGGTTCAACTCCCTTGTGGGTGTGGGAAGCCCAGAGCCCTGACCTTTCATTTTCTGGCCATGTGCCTTAATCACTAGGTTCTTGGGTTGAGGGCCCTCCTCCCCAAATAGTTGTGTTTTTTCTGTGACTAATGTATTGGAGCTTATGCAGCATTATGTGCATACCTAGGTGATTCTCTTCCTCCTGGCTGCTAACACAGCCACAATGCAGCCTGCTGAGTATGCCCAGAAGGGAAAAGCAGGGTGAATATCCAGCCCTACCCTGTATGCGTTCATTATGCATGCTATGTATAGTTTCGGAACTATAGCTTTTGGTAGATTGTCAAAATATCACATTCTTTCTAAAATCTTAAAATAGCATCCTATACATTGCTATTAGTATGTACTTACACTATTTTCATTGTTATCATATCAAATTATATATGTGTTGACTTAGTAAATTCTCATCTCTCTAAAATACATATTTCTCCATATCTATTTACTGTACATTATTTTTCATCAGTAGTACAGTAGCTTCTCTATTTTCTTAGAATTTTTTCATTAAAGAAGGCGATCACCCATGGTCTGGACATATCTGGCATAGAAATGACAAGAGTGCCCTTTCCTGTCTATATTGAAATAAGTAGGTGGGAGTCTCTAGTCTATGGAGCTTGACGCTATTCTGTGGAGCTATGGAGCCTGCTTTCAGAACCTTTAAGCCCACCAAAATATGGGTGAATCTGAATGTAAATCATAACTACAAAAGTTGCTACCTTTGTACTACTCTGATGTTAATTTCTGTTCTAAATATTATTGGTGCTGACTGATTATGATTACAAACTGTAAACGAAAACTAACAGAAATCCTGAGGCTAGATTTCCCGTTTTTAAGTGTATGCGTGATATATTTGAACGGTCTTTAATAAGGCTGACTTTTGGCACATATGCTGTGTAGACAGTGATCTTTGTATGCATGGATGCCTCTGAATGACACAGATGGATGAATTTCATCTGCACATCCTCATGATGGATTCTCTTATGACAGCTCATTTTTAGCCCTTCATAGGAGATTCAGCTTGTTGTTCATGAAAAATGTATGAACATACATTTCACCTTCAGTATTTAGAAGTGTAGAATATTAGGTTTCCTCACATTTATTAATGGTATTACAGTAAAACTTCTGAAAATAAGGGACAGTTATAAAGGTACATGTTTATACGGAGAACATGTGGCATAGGCATTTAGTTTATTTGTACCATAGTGAAGCAGGTCGTCAGCAAAGGTGAAGCCAGAGATTTGCAACATGTGTGGCATGAAAGTCAAATGCAGAGAAAGGTTCAGATAATTTGCTCTTACTGAGAAAATTGCAGTGAGTATATTTAACTTTTGTATTAGTGTCTTCTGGTACAGTTTTGACTGTAGGTAAACTTTTATCAGTGACATTATCGGCCAAAAGAAGCTGATTGCCAGTAATGTCAGTCTTCCTTTTATTGGTGCCAATCCAATATGGACCAATATATCGGTGCATCTCTAGTGATCAGCATAATTCCCCTCCTTACACCTGCCCCAGGCACTGAAAGATCTCTTTATGTCTCTTTCCTTAAGTGACTTGATGAAGAGCACAGAGCATGCCATTAAAGTTTTATATCAATACTCTTGGACTGTATGCACATCTCCTGGTTTAACCAATGAGTTACATAAGGTTTTTGATTTCTGGTATGATGAACATATATACACATTTCTGCAATTGGATGAATTCAAAATGCTGCTTGTGTCAGTATGTACCATGGGAATTCCAAAGCAGGGTAATGTTATATTCCACTTCGTCATTTTTTAGGTTTTTTGGAGGCCCGGTGCTGACAATAATTTTAGTAGTTATGCTCAGTAGGTGATTGCTTGGTTTTGTTCAGTATCTTCATCAACCATCTGGAAGATGGGACAGATTGCACCCATAGCAAGCTTGTGGTTGACTCCAAGCTCAGGGGAGCGGTGGATATGCTGGAGGAGTAGGGCGAGGTTTTCAGAGAGTTACCTAGACAAATTGGAGGATTGGACCAAAATACATCTCATGAAGTTCTATACGTACAAATGCAAAGTCCTGCAGCTAGGATGGAACAATCCCCTGCACTGGTACAGCCTGGGGACTGACTGGCTAAGCAGTAGCTCTGCAGAGAAGGACCTGGGGGTTACAGGGGACAATAAGCTGAATATAAGCCAGCAGTGTGCCTTTGTTACAAAGAAGGGTAACAGCATACTGAGCTGCATTGGTAGGAGCATTGCCAGTAGATTAAGGGAAACAATTATTCCCTTCAATTTGGCACTGGTGAGGCCATATCTAGAGTATTGTGTTACTTTGCACATCTCTCCCTCCCCCAGCTACATAAAGGATGTAGACAAATTGGAGAGTCCAGTGGAGGGCAGTGAAACTAGTTAGAGGGATATGGGGCACATGACTTCTGAGGAGAGGCTGAGAGAAGAGGAGACTTGAGGGGAGATGGCAGAACAAGGAGCAGTGGTTTCAAGTTTCAGGAAGGGAAGTTGAGGTTGGATATTAGGAAAAACTTTCTTACTAGGAGGGGTAGCAAAGCACTTGGACCAGGCTACCCAGAGAGGTGGAATCTCCATCTTTAGAGATTTTTAAGTCCTGGGTAGACAAAGCTTTGGCTGGGATGATATAGTCAGGGTGGTCCTGCTTTGAGCAGCGGGTTGGACTAGTTGACCCTTTGGGGTCCCTTCCAACCCTAATTTTCTATGATTCTGTGATTCTGTAATGTAGGCTTAATGTTTGGGTTAACACAACAGTGTCTTGCTATTCTCTAGATAGGATTGAGCTGGAATATGAAGTAAAATTTGGGAAAACAGCAATTTGTCAAAGATTTACGGGAGTTAATTAATAAAGGTTACTACCAGTAACTCTTCACATTGGGCTATAAGCAAAACTCAGGAACAGTCTAAAATACATATTGGTCTTAAATGGCTAAAAAAAGCTGATTGAGAACTTTGTAAGCAAAACTTTACATTCTCCTAGGATACTATTAGCAAGTATGTGTCAGTGAGAGAGAAAGAGAGACTTCTAATTAACAAGCATGCCTCAAATATTCCTGTACAATAATTGGTTTTCCTTTATACTTTGTAGTAAGTACTACAGCACTCCTATGCAGCAGTCAACAACCTTTTTGAGGCAGCAGGTAAAAATGAAGTGGTTTGGGTCCAAGGCATACCAGGTCCTGGCCACTGCTACCACCATTTCTCCCTGCCACCCAGCTGTGGCCTGGGTAAAGCCTCCCATTGCCTGACCCCAGCACAGCATAGCACAGTGCAGCCCCACCAAACCTCCCTGCTGCCGATCACCACTGAAGGCCCCTGAGTCTGCAGCTAGTTCTGGCCTACAAGACTGTAGGTTGCCAGCCTGCGTTCTTGTGTGTTTGTTGAGATGCTCACTGGAAACCTGACAGCTGCCAAATGAAAACTATGTAGATTATGCAAAATGTAGGCCATGGTAATTTGTGCTTTGAATCCCAGTAACTGTTATGTAAAAAGTTGGGCCAGATCTTCATCTTGCATTACATACAAATATTGTTTTGGGGGGACAGACAAGGAAAACCAATGCTGCCAACCTTTAGAGATCAGTTTGGTAGGAATAAAATATCTTGTTATGCTTTTTAGAACAAAATCACTGATGTTACAGGCAGTATTTGATCTAGGATATCCAATGATGTGTACGATATTGCTGCAGGTAAAATAGTTGACATGTATGTCTGTGTAGATGCTGCACTACCAGTAGATAGCTCATAGCTGAGTGTATGAGACAGTGAAAAACCAAAATCTGATCCAAGAACTCAAATAAAGAGCGTTGTTGCAACATTTTCAACAGAAAATTTCTTGAAACTTGGTTAGGTAATTTTAATCCCTGTTTTAAAAGTTAAGTGTTATCTTTAGGGAGTTGTGTAAAGGTACAGTTTTGTGTTTGGTCTTCATGAAAGTTGATTACAGATGAGAAACTAACTCATTGTAAATGACACTTTTGCAAGTATGAATTTCCTTCTGAACATCAAATCAAAAGAGGTAATGCAACCTTTACTAACACAGTACCCATTGTCTTTTTGTACTCATTGGGTTTTATCTACAACACCACATTTTCCTTGCATTAATTTAGAAGAATCTTTATGGAATTAATTATATAATATATTGCCTTTCTTTCCCATGGTAATATTTTTACTGTAGTTGCTTTGAGTAATTTTCAGTCCTTATCTGTGCTAGCATTTACACTAACCCAAACGTATTTGAAACATTTCTAATATATCCAGTAACATTAAGTGTGTTGTACTTCCACCTCAATTGTTACATAAGTAATTAAAGAGTAACAAGAGAAGCTTAATTCAGTAGCTTGTTGAAGATGTACAAATTAATCCATGCAAGAGAGAAAATAACAGAAACTTTAAAATTAAAAAAAAAAAAATCCCACTTGTGTATGGGTTTTCATGACAGCAGCTTTCCCTTTTTTAAATACAAACTGCAGAGTGTTTTGTGCTTGTCTCGGCAGTCATGTGCATATATGATGTTTCTTTTTAAGGATTTAAAGCCCAGTAATATAGTAGTAAAATCAGACTGCACTTTGAAGATTCTTGACTTTGGACTGGCCAGAACCGCAGGAACTAGTTTTATGATGACGCCTTATGTAGTGACTCGTTACTACAGAGCGCCAGAAGTCATCCTAGGGATGGGATACAAAGAAAACGGTCAGCAAATATATAGTCTTTCTTTGACATAGCTTTATTTTTTGTTTGGCATGCTACATTTTACATGTTAACGTGTTCCAAGCTGTAGAAACTTCTTTAAGGTAGTGCTATGACCACAACATGCAATATCAAACCAATTTTATTAGAAATGTTTGTGTTAGATGTTAAAAAGAAATTGGGGGCCTTGTTTGTTTAAAAATTAAACAAGTGACTTGGAATGATGGTTTGTTTTACTATTGAAAAGTGATAAATCCACTTCCTTGATAATTTGTGTGCGTCTTAATCTGAGAAACACTTTGGCATGAATTCACCCCTAGTCCCTCTCATGTGCAAATAAATGTGTTTTTCCTAAATTAATCTTGAGTCATTATGTTACCCTGGAATATATTCATAGTTTTGGAAAGATACAGATTGAAAGGGTTTGTATAAGTTGAGGATATCCACTTTTTGTATCACTTAGCAAACCACCTGTTCATGGATTTTCACTTAAAATAAATTCCTAATGCAGCTGCCACAGTAATGCAGAGTATCAGGAATGCTATTAAGGTACTCTGAGGGACCCTAAAAGATACTGGTTCAAAAAATCCAAAGAAACTTCATGGGGAAGGCTATTGTTTGCTCCATTCTTCTGCTTTTCAGGCATTTTTTATCATTTTAGACTTGTTCTCTGGTCCTACTTCTATCAATATATTATAAAAGAAAACAGGAGGGGTAAGTGTTTGAGGGGAAGTTATGCATTCAAAGAACACTTGGAATGTACAGTGTCTTTTTTTCTTGTAGCACGCACAGTCTCTATAGTGCTGCTGTTATTCCTGAAATACCAGTGCTCTGTTCTCAGTTCTTTCCTTGGTGCCACCGGTGCAGCTTCATGGTTTGGCACCATCCTGTGCAACGGTGACCATCTGCAGGCATTTTAAACACTGTATTGATTAGCACTTCCTTGGGTGCATCTACACATGCCCCTATGGCACTGTTGTTACTGCGCTGTCATTTAGTACTACTTCCTAAACTGAAGGAGCGCATTGCTATAGCAATGTAGTGGCAGCATAACAGTTTTTGCCCACAGACACTACATCACTGGACCACATTGTAGACTCACCCCTTGATACTGATTATCTGTGCTAAGGCTCCTAGAGTAATGGTAACAAGTGGGAGTCGAACCTGTTTTAGGGTTTCTGGAAACTTGTATCATACAGGCTATGTCATATTGGGGAAAGTCTCATTAAATCTTAATCCCCTGATTGAATAGGGATAATATAGACTTGCAAAACTGGTTTAGCAATCTCAAGCCCAGGAGCAAGATCTGCTTGCCCTGCCTTCCCTGTGACAAAAATACCTTGGGTAGGTGAGCAAATGATTTTTTGCAGGACTGCAGATATATCTTTTCCTCCCTAGATTGTTATTTTAGATTAGGGAGGCATGTTTCTTCAAAGTCCTTCAAAGTTTCTTCTTACAAAGTGATATGGAAAAAACTTTATTTTTATTGCCAAAGTATAATGGGATAAGTATATTTGATTTCAGTGTTTGCTCTGACTTTCCTAGTGAGGGTTGAACTTGATATCAAAGTTGACTTACCTGATTTCCTCCTAGCACTTTCTAGCATACATCATAAATTCTTCATTATAGTATAAATCTAATGGATGGATAATGGTAGTGTCTTAACAAAAGAATTGATACTTTAATACTTTCCCAAGTTTTCAGATAAGAACTTATTCAGGTCAAATTTCCTTCTTTTAAAAAAACAAAATCATATTGAGTTAGAAAAGTGTATTTTTTTTACTGCAGAATCAGCATAGTTTTCATGAAATTCAACACTAAGCTCATCTGTGAAGGTGTGACCCACTATTTGCAACTAATAAACCAGATTTTACTCTATTTGTAATATACTTATAAAAGATTATTTAATGTATTCTTAATTAAATGCACCTTTTTGGTATTTTTATATAAATTAAACAAGCAGGACAAGTTGGTTTTGGCTAAAGGATGTTTAGTTACCGTTGGGCACCTTAGATGCTGTAATGGCCCTCCTCCACTCCACATGAAGTTAGTTGAGTTGCTTTGCTTCATTGATGATTCTTCAGGCAAAGTGATCTGGTGGCACCCATCTCCTCTCCAGGTATGGATGGCCGTTGGCTTGCAGGAAGCCCATTTGCCCTTTAACAGGTCTTGTTTTTAGTCCTGCTGGGTGTCCACACACCCTCCTTACCCAGGCTAGCCCAAGTGGTGGTGCTGGTTTAGTCACTGACAACCCAACTATGGTACACACTATACTAGTTTACATGGGACCAGGTAGCAGACCAAGAGAGGCCTGGCTCAACAAGACCATCTAATTACGGTGATGAAAATTACAGGCAGTTCAGACTCCTTAAACTGGGCCATGCTGCCAGTAGAGTAACTGAGCAATTGGGACAAATCCTCTGCAGCTGATTTGCATGCAGTCATTTTGTTGTCCATAATGACTCTGTGATGTGAGGAAGACCTTCTCACAATTATCCAGAATTTTTATTAGATTATTTTGCCTACCTGTTCAGGTTCCATGGACACATGTTAGTTTGGGCATTATTGCCTGAAAGTCTCTCGTGACATACTGAAAGGGTCTTAACAGTTACTAAAAATCAAAGCTTGCAAACCCCCAAAGTTTTGAATTAAATACAGGAAAAAAGAATTTGAAACAAGATGAAATTAAACATTTGCAAAGACAGTGCTTTTTTAAAGCAAACCTGTAGAGTTTTTCAAGGCTGAGTGGAGGAGTTAATGTTAAATCACTTGAGCTTTTTATGTATGAGCTGTCTTACGTATGAAGAAGAGTACTTGAGGCTTGTATTTTCCTATTATTCCCATCAGTCTATACAAAACTGATTTTTTTTAAGCACTGATTGCAAACTATCTAAAGAACATTTCAGGTACATTTCTCTGAATGAGGGTACAGGGCTTATTTGCAGGAAAAAAAGACCACAATTTAAAATTATCATTAAACTATCAAATGCCACATCAGTATTGGTCCCTTCCAAAAAAAGGATTAAATATTTGTAAGCAATTTATACAGAAAAATTACCACAACCTTAAATGTAGTCATGACTTGCATGCCCTAACTCATGAAGTTAAGATCTCTGACTTAAAAACAGCAAAAGATTTTTGTGTGTTTGTTTTAAATGAACAAGGCCCTTGATTTAAACATTTAGGTTTGAAAATTAGTATTTTGTTCAGATGATTTAGGCAATGTTTTAGAGGAACTCTTAGGAATGAGAAAACAGTAATTATTTTTTCCTAAGAAAATGCAATATTATTTACTTATTGTTTTTAACTATCTCAGTACTATTTCATGTGCTTTTATTATGCAAGGTTTTCACTTAAAAGTTACTGTTTTATAGTTTGCTGAAATTTTATTCCTAGACCTAACCATGGTAATACAAATTCATCCTTGTGACTTCAAGAAAACTCTTGCATGAGAACAGTATCAAATGGTGTGTAAAAGCATTACATTTGTATCAAGAGAATCCTTTTTTGTCTGGTAGCAACACTCAGTGTACAGACATTCACAAAATGTAAGTCTAAAAATGGCACACCAGGTAGAAAGTTAAACCTAGTCTAGCTTAAACTAGTTAAACCTCATGTAGTGTGGTAAGGGTTAGTCAGGTGTAATGAATACTGTACACTTACAAAGCGATAGAAGCTCCACCTCTTCTCTGGAATCCCAGCCTGCATTGCTGATATTTTGTGCCTTGGCTAGACTCAGCAGGGCTGGCATTTAAAGCCAGGGAGGTGTGTGTGGGTGGGTGGGGAAGGCAACTGGGGTAGGGAAGCTGCTGCTACTCACTTCCCAGACCAGAATCACCACTGTGAAGAGTGGGCAAGGGCTTCGCTATGCTGCTTCACTCTTCCTTGGGACCAGTTTGGGAGGGGAGGGGAGGGGAGTAGGGGAGATAATGTTTTCAGCCCTGACCCATCTCCCTTGCCCCTGCCATTCTCAGAGGCGCCCCAACCCTGTGGACACCCTGTCCCTGCCTCCTCCATTCCTGAACCCCCACCTCCTCCCCTCTCTGCCCCCTACCAACTCATACTCTATCTAAAGGGCTAGTCCCTTCTGGAGGCAAGGTGTCATTGGGCTTAGTTCCATGCTGTTTGAGCATAGGAGGGGGTGGGGCCATCAGATCCTTCCCCCTTCCCCTCCCTTGGACCCAAATGGCATAGTCCCCACCAGAAATGGAGCCCACTGTGCCCCTGTCCCCCAACCCCCCCCCCTTCCCCCATAGACAGAGACCAACTTGACCTGCCGCCTGCTGGGACTGGAGACCTTGGACCCACCTCCCACATGCAACTGGATCAGCCCAACCCAGATCCAGCAGTACCTAACCCTGACTCAGTGGCACCTGACCCCAACCAGACTTACCTGACCTGTGCTGGAACTGGATCTGTTGACTAGTGCCAGGGGGGTAAAAATCCATTGGTCTTCAGGAGGGGAAAGACCTACAGTGGGTCTTCTATCTGAGTGCCTGACAGCTGGGAAGGGAAGAGGAGAGGGTGTGTTATGGGGAAGGGAATATGGGCTAAGCAGTCAGTCCATGACATTATCCCTTTGGTGCTGTCAACTGTCTCCAGGAAGACTGTGGAGCCTGCAAAGCACACTGAAATGTGTGGTCTGGGGCCCTCTGTCTGAGTGCCATCAGCAACACAGTCTTCCTGCAGAGTAGACAGCTGGCCAAATAAATACTTTTTGAGTTCTAGTGGTAGAGTTTCCAACTGCATAAAGTAAACTACTTCATTTCTCCTGGTTTCTTTGAATGCTTGCATGCACTCATTGTGGACTTAGGTGCCTAGGTGTGATTTTATTCCACCCCATAATTGCAGATTATCAGTCAAAGAAATGTTCCTGGATTGGCAACCTTGCTTGATTGCAAGTATAGGTTTTATGCTGTCCTGTTCCCACCCTAGTGGTTCCCTATTCACTCCCACACCTTGATGTACCTGACTGCACTCTGCACCACATAGCATGCCCCCCACCCCCACTACAGCCTTACCCTCACTGGCCTCACCCTTACCTTCACTACCCTCACTGTGCTGGCATAGATCCCCAGAGAAGGACCACTCTTTGCTTACCTGCTACCCAGCAGTGATACAGGCAAGAGACAGGGTGCAGCGGGATATGACTGGGGAATGGAGAGGAGGCCTCTGGAGGCTTGAAGGCTTCTGTGGACTACAAAGCCCAGGGAGAATGCTCCCTGCAGGGTGTTACTCTCCTGCTCAGACACCAGGGGGTGCTGCTCTGCTCTGTCTGTCCTTCAGTGCTTTGCCTCAAGCTTCTTTCTGATCAGGGATCTTCAGTCAAGTTCCCAGTTGCTTAGTTTGTTTTATGAATGCTTCCATTTTTTCACATACTTTACAGGCATTTTTTTAAGCTTTTTTTTTTTTTTACAGACTGTCAATAAATTTATGGACAGCTGGCAACCACGCTCACACTGGGTAGAATACAGTCACACTTAAGTTCTAAGTCCACTTATACGTGAACTAGGTAGAGTAGAATTTGGCTTATAATCTTTAAATATGAGCAGAAATAGTGAAAATTGGCATAACATTGAAAAGTGAATTTATCTTTTAGTGGGAGTGTTTTTGGATTTTTTTTAAGCAGAAAGGTATAAAATATTTACATTTACTCCAACATTGCTGAAGAAATTTTTAGACCAATTATATCTAGTCTAATTACTTACAGAAACATGCTAATCATTGTTAACCGATCCTCTAAAATGCTAAACGTTCTCACTATTTGTATCCACGACGTTTAAAAGGAGAGACAAATGTATGTTAAACTGCTTTTCAGGACATTGGCAAAATTTCTTCAATTCTTAAAATCTAATAAATTCTGTTTTAAAAATAGAAGTTACTCTGTTGACATGCTCTACTCTATTTTTAATGACAATTTAGTTTGCTAATTTTAAATTGACTCCCACAAGTACAATTTAAAATATTTAAAGAAATATACCCTTCTCTGCTATTCTAAGCAAGTCTGTTTGCAGAAATGCTATTGTTCCGGGCCACAAAACTTCAAGAAGGGCTTTAAACTCCTGATGCATGTGCATATTTCTCTCTCTCCCTCTTTAAACAGCGTGTTAAACCTAGGCTGTTCTTTTGCCTTTTTTAAATGTGTTATATAAAAATAATCCTAAAAGATACTGTATGTTTTTAAATAACTTCATTGGTTAACACCAGAAGGGTTTCTTTTCCTTCTGTTCTGTCTTTGCAGTTGTTAGGATGCGATCACATTATGCTTCTTTAATTTTAAATGACCGTTTGCTTTGCTTTTCCTTCTTTTTGTGCTACAAACATAGTGGATTTATGGTCTGTGGGGTGCATTATGGGCGAAATGGTTTGCCACAAAATCCTCTTTCCAGGAAGGGACTGTATCCTTGTGCTGCTGCAGCATGTTGAATTAGTGAGGTGATTAATGTTTGAATGTTCTGTTATGAAAATGCATACGGTACAATGCTTTTGAAATGGACATGAATTTTTGTATACATTTTAAAAATTGTTGAGGTAAGAACTTCAGTTATATTCAGGCTGCATCTAGCAGTAGGACATAGTCTCTGCTGGTACTGTAGTTAGTGCACATTCACTCTCACTCATTTTCATTACACACTGCTTTTTATATCACTTTGTGTGTGTGTGTGAATTTTTTTAAGTTATTTTATTTTAATAACTATCTTTTATGTTAATGTCATTGCATTTTGTTTTCAGTTGACATTTGGTCAGTTGGGTGCATCATGGGAGAAATGATCAAAGGTGGTGTTTTATTTCCTGGTACAGATCGTATCCTTACCTTTGGTCTAGGATATAGTTGTAAGAGATCAAAATGTACTCAAGCATTTATTTTAGTTCAATGTCAGAGAAGTCTGTCTGCTTCACTGCGGACTGCTATGATAGTGTGTGATACTACTATTTCAGAATACCTTTTAAGAATTCATGATTTCAGTTCTGAGTATCTCAGATTTTTATGGCGATACCATTTTCTTAAAATAAAAAAGTAAAAATTAATGACTTTCATTGCTGTCTTCAGTGATTCCAAATTAAGATATTCTAGAGATAGGAGCAAGGTAATTCTTTGGACGTATTGAGTCTTATTTTTTTAATTTTATTTTTCTGTATTTGATACAGTGCCTGTTTATTGTTGTCATTGTTAAGGAACATTCCTTTTATTGCTTAGTGCTTTAGCTGTTACGTTTTGAATTTTTCTTTTTCATTTATAATATATTAAACTGATCTCAGCTTTTGTTTGAACATATCAGCAGTATTGGTTTTTGTGTTTGTAGATGACAGTTTAAACATTGGTAAGCAATCCAGCAATATATAGTTTCAATTTGTCTTAATTTATACCTTGTGTACTAGAAGTTGAATCTTCAAAGCATCTTTTGGAAATACCTAGCACTTCTTATTGGTGCACTTTTGCTGTATTTGATTGGTTGTGTTAGTGCATGGTGCTGTACTAATGATACTTCCAATGAGGGGCACTGTAAATGCAAAGTAGAACTAAAAGTATTAGGCTTACCACTAGAAATTGTTTAAAAATTGAGGCGTTGCTCACGGTAAGTTTTGTTCTCCTTCCTCAAAGTCTGTGGCTCTTTTAATTGATTAAAACAAGCATTAAATTTAGGTATTTGTTGGCTTTGAAGGTAAAACTGCTTTAAAAGCACCCAAAACACACCTCTCCAGCTTCTCCAAAAAATACACGAATTACTGGTCTTTCTGTGGGCAAGTACACTTTTTTAACTACTTGAGCTATCATGTCCATTGGCTGTTAACTGTTACATCTGCATGGTTTTGTAGCAGTGCAAGTAAGCCGAGTCACTGGAACTTTGGAAATTAACTGTTTCATTCAGGTTTCAAAGTTGCAATGGTTTTGCTAAGCTTATATCACTTGGGAGGCATGCAGAGGTAATCGTTACATTTTAACAAATTATATCATTATAATGTAATACTGAAAGAGTTACCTTTCTCTATACCCAAACTGTGAGGACATCATTTCTTTTTGTGCCAGTCCGTGATTTACCTTTGCTTACATAAACCAGTTTTTGGCTAGTCTTGTCAACTTTAGTGTGGCTGCCTTCAGTGTTTGAGTAATTATGTGAGAGGCAAGGATTCCTTAGAGTGATATTTTTTTATCAGACCTGGCACCTTAAAACAAGTAGCTTAGGTATTTTTGTCTGTCTGTGTTTTTCTAGATATACAGCTTTTGTGAGAAGCTGCAGGTGGTCCACAGTCCTGAAAAATCAGGCTCCTTTTCCCCGCACCTGATTTTGAATATCTTAATGTTACTTCTTTATGGCTCACTGTAAGAATTAGGGCATTCTTGCATTTACTGCTTTTTAAATAAAGTCTTTAAATAATAGTTTTGTGGGGTTTTGCTAGATAATCTATATATTTTATAGGCACTTGATAATGTGCTTGAGGCTGCAGTACCTGTCTATAACAGATGCATGTTGGGTCATATTCTGATATGCTACACTTGTGTAAATAATAGCAGAATTTCAGTTTACATTTGTAACTGGACACTTTTGGGGTAATTAGGCACCCAAGCCACTGAAATTCAAAAAGCAATCAGGACTCAAAGTAGAGATGGTATCTTTTATTAGACCAATAAGTTTTTTGCCAAAAAAATTCTTTAACTGCAGGTTTTGGGGCACAAACACCCTTCTTCAGGCATTGGAAAAAGATTGCAAAAGTTCTCCTGGGGGTAGAAATGAAAGTTCATATGTCATAGGATTTCACAGAGGAGTCAATAGATGGAAAACTCCTCTGGGCAGTCAGTTCATAGCTGGTATGGAGTCTCTCACCTCCTGTGAGGATCTGTAATGATGCAAATTACCTTGAAACAAAGGCAGGAAGCAGGATCTCAGGTTTCAGGTGGTCACACTTGCTTCCTGCTTGGGAAAATATGAAGATTTCATTTTTAAAAATGGCTAAAATTTGATATCTTCCATGTGTCAGGTGTCCAGGTTGTAGCTGTATTGGTCTAAAGGAAAAAGCAATCGGGACTCATGGTAGAGGTGATTTATCTTTTATTAGACCAACAAGACTTTGGAAAACAAAATTCTTTTAATTGCAAGTTTTTGGGCACAAACTTTTTCCTCTAGAATCTAGACCAATACAGCTACAACCTGGATACCTGAAATTCAAAAACTGATATAAGGTAATATTTTTCAGCAGTATCTAAGTGAATTAGGAGTATAGGTTCCAAGGGTTTCAGTAGGACTTGTGCTCTTAAGTCAGGTAGATGCTTTCTAAAAATTCTCCTTTATGTGCATTGTTCTTTCAAAACTGATAATTTTAAGGCAAAAAGAGGATGTCCAGGGTATCCTCAACTTGGTGAAAATTGTCACTTTCTAGGTAAGCAGCTTTTAGATTCTTGTACAACTTTGGTGAAAATCCCAGTCCCATTGAAGCTGGTGACAGCATTCCCATTGACTTCAGGGTACCAAGATTATAAAGACCCAGACTCAGGGTAGATTATTGATTTTACAGCAAAGAGTGAAACACTCAGGGCTGAATCATCATTCAAGTGCATAAACAAAACCTAGCAAATTGGGGAATTGGATGTAGAACTAGGTGTTTGTTTGGAACAGTACGAGAGTAAATATAGCGAGAACTGGAAGTGAGCACCTCTGTGTTTTAGTGAAACTTTGATTTGAGCCTTGTTTAGAAACTCTTTAAGCTCCTGTACTTCTTGCAAGTGTATCCTTCGGCAATTAGTTATGATTATTTCTGTGGTTCAAACTTGTATTTCTCTTTATTATTTTTCATCTTCACTGTTTGCTCTAAGTTAGGCTTAGCTGTTGGTAATTGTTTTGTTCTTTCTTATAGCTGTCTGTCTTCATCTCTGTTAGATATGTTGTATGGTTTTGAATTAACCTGTGTACTGAATGTTAGATATGCAGTGTTTTTCTTAGCTGCATAACCTTAGATATTGATCAGTGGAATAAAGTTATTGAGCAGCTAGGAACACCATGTCCTGAATTCATGAAGAAATTGCAACCAACAGTACGGACTTATGTGGAGAACAGACCTAAATATGCTGGATATAGTTTTGAGAAACTCTTCCCAGATGTGCTTTTTCCAGCTGACTCTGAGCACAACAAACTTAAAGGTAAGTTCTCTTTTTATACATAGTTGCTGTATATATAAAATATTCTTAATATTTTAGCTGGTAACCAAAAGTTTAACTTTTGTTAATTATCATGTAATGCTTTTAAAGATTTAAAATTTAATATATTGGTACCAGAGAAGTGAATGAGAGAGCTGTGACTACAGCTAGCTCCTTTTCCCATCTGCTGAGCTACTGCTGCTTTTGAAGAAAATCCTCTGGGAAACGGATATTATTTTTCTCTACTACTGATATCAACAAATCTGATCTCCTAAGTTTGGAAAAGGGTGGTAGTGAGGAAGTTGGCACAGGAAAGAGTGGAACAAAGAAAAAAGATATATTTGTAAGTGCTGAAAGCAGAACACACCTTTAGCTTCATTTCTAAATTATGTGCATCTTTTATCTGCCCAGGCTTTGGCTATGGGATCCTTTGGTTTCAGAAATAACTTCTTGGTGAGTTGCTGTCTCCTCAAGAAGCTATTATAGATGCATCACATTAGTATATTATGTTGTTAGAAAGTTATCTCTGGGGTTTTCTTCAGCAGTTGCTTAATATAAAATGTATACATGGTGCTGAAAGCAGGGGCCAGAATCCAGGACTCTTTTTCTCCCTCCCCCCCCACATCCCTCTCTAAATTGGTCTAGCTTTAAAGGAAAGGGTAGAAGGTGCCTTCACTCAGATTCTTTTTAGTCTTGAAAATTAGGGCCCTCTCCTTAAAATTTTATTTAGCGTATGCAATTTCAGTATATTGTTTCAGCCATCTTAAGGCATCACCAGTGTGAAAAGCATAATAAATGGACACAAATTAACAATGTGGGACATGGTTTGGACGTGTCCACAAGGACATTTGTTGTCATTGCAAAGGCCTCACTGGTATAGGCTTGAGGCACAGTGAGCCTGCCCAGTTCAAAATGGTTGAGAAGTGCCCAATAACGGCATGGCCAGTTAAATCCTGGTTGACTGACTTTAGGGTCAGAGATAATGTGGTGATTGATTGGTGCTTGTGTTTACCATTTTTCATGCCACTGAATAAGTAAGGAAAAGTCAAAAGGTTTTGAAAGAGTGGATCGTAATGGACGCTTTAAGGGGAGCCGAGCTTTTGGTGGGTAGAATATGTCCCAGTAGCACTGGCAGCGTAGGGGTATCATGGAGTCTGGCTAGTAAGTTTACTTCAGCGTGTGTGCAATGAAGATGAGGCGTAGCAATGTTACTGAGAACTGGTAACCGTGGCAGTGGAGTGGGGTGCAATGTACCTGACGCAAGACACGCTGTAGCATGCAGTTGGCTGTCCTCTAGGGCTGTGTGAAATTTCGCCAAGTGTTTTGTTTTGAAGCTGTTTTGATGTGTTTTGAGCTTGAAGCAGCAAAATCGAAACGAAACAAAAAACTTTGAAATTAAATGAGGGCACTTGAAATGTAAATAGCCGCTCTAATTAAAGTGTCCGCAGAGTTTTGTGTATTCAGCACCCCGTGCTTCAAAATGGCAGCAGGGGCACTTTAGCTAAAGCTAATGCTATGAGCTTTAGATAAGGTGCCCCCCACCACCATTTTGAAGCACAGGGACACTGAATACGTGAGACAGCAAGGCTGTTTGAGCACGGGAATTAATGCACTCCAGCAGACTCGATTAACTGACTGTAATTACAGGGTGTTGGAGCAGCTCCCCCACATGTGTACAGGCATCCTAGATGATTATCTTAAAGGGAGGCACCATCAGCTCTTTCTCTTGACATATTTTTGAACAAAAGTGGTGCCGGGATTGGGGTATGTTACACATGCTCTGAGCCCATGTTCTGGATCACATCCAACTGAGTATCTTTTAAAAATGCATTACTGTCTAATTTGTCTATTAAAGCATCATGGTAACACACATCAATAGCAAATTAGAAGATAAGGAAACATGTCCCATTTTCAGGATTCCTTCGTTTACACGAAGGAGGCTTATGATCAGTTACTTACTAATGACTTTGCCACAATTTTTATTTGTCTGTTTTTATATGTGATGCAAAAACTGTTCTTTGTTTGACTTGGCTTTTTAATATGTAGTATCTGGCACTAGTTTTGCTAAATGTGGATTATGTGCAGATTTTAAATATGTAATTTGTTTGCTTCTTGCTGAGAATGTTGTGTGCATCTCTTCTCTAAGCTTTAACACATTGTATAACATCTATTAAGCATTTACCTAAATAGAAAATGTTATTCTTGTAGCCAGTCAAGCAAGAGATTTGTTATCAAAAATGCTGGTTATAGATGCTTCTAAAAGAATCTCAGTGGATGAAGCCCTGCAGCACCCATACATCAATGTCTGGTATGATCCATCAGAAGCGGAAGCAGTAAGTTCTTTGCTTTGACCTCCTGTAAGTGGGGGGCTGTATTGAAGAAAGCCTACTTAGGGATATAGTTTTATGTCATTGCTTGCTGTAATAATTTATTTGTTTTTTGCTATACAATTGTTAGAATTGTAGCTGAACTATGTTTACTAAATGCAATTAGTAATCAATTACTAGGAGTTTGAATCCTTTCCAGCCCTACTTTCTTGTGATCCTATGATGCATAGAAAAGAGGTCAAATACAAGATGGCTGAGCACAACATAGAGTTTTGTTTGATTTTAAAAAATTTATGTGGGATTCTGAAAACTATCCTTTATACCAGGTGTGACCAAAATACAGGCCAGGGGTTGGATCTGGCTGAAGGAGCCATATTATCCAGCCAGTGGGGCTCCCCATGGGTCCAGAAATGTGGCAGTACGGTGACTAGGGATAGCGTTAAGTGCCATGACTCCCACAGCTGTGGCAATTAACGCTGCTGTTGCTTATCCTTTTGCCAAACTTCCAGACCTGTGGGGAGCCCTGGAGGCCTGAGCCGAAGCATATGGAGTTGCATCATCCGACTTGCAGGGCAGAAATTTGGTGTGAGGAGGAGTAGCAGCTGTTATGACTCTGGAAGCTGCAGCAGTTAATGCTGCTACTGTCAAATTCCAGCCTTGAGGGCCAGATGATGTTGCTCCCTGCTCCAGATCCTGATCATCCCCTGGGGCTGGATAAATTGTACACAGCTGCTGTATTTTTTTGCTAAATGGCATGTGTTTTCCTTTTGTGTAATTTGTATTGTTTGAGTTGCTTTATCATGAATCAATTCTAATTGCAGCCTCCGCCGAAGATACCAGATAAGCAATTAGATGAAAGAGAGCACACAATAGAAGAATGGAAAGGTAAGAACAACAGTGTCCTTGGATGCAACCGTGTAGTAACAGTCTACTGTTGTTAGATTTCTGTTAAGCAGCTTCATTGCCCTTCAGATCTCAAATGTTTGTATATCATTTTAAATATTTGCTGAAACTGTATTGTTTTTACCCCTACTGAATTCATTTCTTAAGTGAATTGCCATTTTGATGGGTTCCAACTCCAGCTTAGAGTGCTCCCTGGATCTCGGCCCTTCTTATTTGGAGTAGTCATCTAGCAAGAGTTCTCAAAGTTCCCAGTTCCCTTGTCAGGGCCAGCTCATCTTCCCATGCCACCAGAGGCTCTGGCCACAGTACCCTACCTGTCTGTTGGCCTCCTGTGAACTCGGGATGCAAGACATTGTACTCCAGCCAACCCCTCAGCCTTTTGTTCTCTGGGTCGTCCTCATCCTCCAAGATGGAAGAAGTTTTTGCTTTGTCCTTTTTGAGGATCCTGTCCTCAGAGTGAATTTCTAGGAACTGCTGAAACATGTGACATATTCTCTATGGGTTTACCTAGAGAAAGTCACTGAATTTTCTGTAGCATGTTGGACTTTCTCTGTCAGTCATAGCTATCTCAGGTGGCAGTCCTTATTAACAGAGCCATTTTGGAGCTTTGGTGTGTGCCAATATCCCATCCTCTCACTGTTGAAAAGGCAGACAAAATACAGGATTCTACTCATGATGGAAAAGTCCATATGGCATGCTTGTTACTTGTTGTAGTGACTGCTAATGAAAAGGCTAGAGCCTGCTAACTGGGTTCAAGAGACAAAAACCTAAAGAAACTGGATTTGCTGGATAGGAAATTGTACATCTCTACTATATTCCAGTTTTGCGTCTCTTGCTGTTAAGGACAGTTATCTAGTTATGCTGTCCAGTTATATAAGCATATTGCCTTCATGTGAATTACAGGGACTCATTTTTCATTCTATTTGCTGAAGGACAATTGGTGACTAATTGGGCCCTGCAAACTGCCCTTGATATAGCTACTGCCAGAGATATGATGACTGTTGCTTTCAAGCCACCCAGGAGACAATGTGCATGTGGAAATTTACTTGAAGGGTAAAAGGAAGTTAGTTACCAGTGACTAGAGCTCTTTGAGGAGTGTTATCCACATATACATCCCTATCTGTCCTGTTTTCTTGAAGTCCAATACAATTTAAGACTGCAGTTGAAAGGAATCTGCCAAGCAGGGAGTATGTGCTGTCTTTTATCAATCTGGTCCATGGCATTTTGAGAATCAGGGTCAAAGCACTCTCTATAGGTAGGACTAAAGCAGAGTCTGTGACTAGTGGTCAGAGTGTGAGATGCATGCACAAGTTGTTAAGAGTATGTGGACAGTACATCTCCAAGAATGTCAGTTACCAGTGAGTCATGGAGGAATCTCATTTTGAGTCAGAAAGTCTATGATTCATGGAATTCCCAATGAAAACACATTTTTTGATCACAAGTTCCATGATTTGGGCAAACTTACAACTTTACTTGAGGAGGATGGAGAGGCCATTTTGCCTTAAATTAAAGATCTGTGTTAATACAGGTATCAAGGCCTGTTTGCTGTGTCTGCTATAATACAAGCAGGCATTCTATCCGGCCCGCAGGGGCCCTAGAAAATTTTGAAAGTTAATATTTATCTGCCCCTGACTGCCTGTCATGCGGCCCTCAATGGCTTGCCAAAACTCAGTAAGCAGCCCTCTGTCTGAAATAATTGCCCGTCCCTGTTCTACAGCTTGTGAAATAATTCAGTTTCTAATGGTGCTGCCTCTGCATTTTCCTGTATCTCCTCCTTAAGTTAACAATTCCAGTGCTAAGCAGAAGACAGCTGACAGTGACTGTTAGATGTTTATTATCTTGAGACTTCACATATTATTTCTTTTTTGCAATTGTTAATACACCACTCACTTTTTCATGACAAGTTCTTAAAATGTCACTGGGAGCACCTTGATTTTGTTGTTCTTAGGTTACATATCATGCACTCTACATCCTGATGCTACATGTGTAGTAATAAGATACAGGATTTTATTTAGAAAATGTTCTCCTGTCTGTTGGACCTTATGATCTAGTTCAGGGACATAACAGGTATTGCCAGAGCCCCATGATCCAGCCTTCAGTGCTGCCTCTGGGTCTTGAGTTGACCTGTAAGCTGCATACTGCACCTACCATGGCCAGTCTGGGACAAGCCACACAGTGCCCACTTTGGGACCCATGCTGAACACGGGCCCAGTCCAGGGCAACCCCCTCCTTCCTCACCCCCTCCCAAGGAGCAGAACCATGCAACTCCTGTTTCATCCAGTCTGAAACTGGACCCACTCTGGCTGGCCTGGGACTGTGCTGCTTGCTCCAGCCAGTCTGGCACTGGGCTAACTAGTCCAGGATATGCATTTTTAATGTCTCAGATGCCATGGGTCCCAGATCCCTCCCTGGAGGAAGTGCCATGGGTCCTGGATCTAGAATTGGTTGGCAGGGGGGAGGGAGAGACAGTGGACCATATCTGGCCCATGGGGCTGTCCCCACACCGTTCATGCAGCCCATGGACGCCAGGTGAGTTTGACACCCTGATCTCGCTCAGTGGTCAGGAACCTTTTTTCAGTAATGGTCTGGAATGACCTGGCTCCTGCTGCCACTGCTACTTCTCCCTGTCATAGCATGGGGAAAACCTCCCTGCTGCTGGAAAGTCATTGAAGCCCCCTGAAGTTTGAGAGCCAGATCCAATTGGCTGTGTGCTGTTGACCCCTATTCTAGCACACTAGGGGTTTTAAAGGCTGACCCCTATTCTAGCACACTAAGGATTTTAAAGGCTGACCCCTATTCTAGCACACTAGGGGTTTTAAGGGACTCTGATTATAATATGGACAAACATAGTTCTGCCATCCATAGAGGAATAACTGACAGAGTCCCATTTTTCACATGCATCCTTGTACTGGTCTTAGGTAACTGAGGACACTTGGAAAAGGCTTATTTGTTTGTTTATTTTTTCAATTTATACACTGCCCTTCCCACACAAAGTTCAAGGTTTGGGAGCATCCCCTTCCATTTGTTCAGTTTGCTTGTTTTATCCTGTTTCAAGAAGGGACCTCTGAGTAAAGGTCATAGGAGAGAGCAGTATGTGGGGATGTCATGTTCAGCGTCTGCCGCAAGCCACCAAACCAGAAGGAGGAGGTGGGTGAGGGCTTCTTTAAACAACTGATGGAAGCTTTTGAATTACAGGATTCAGTTCTCATGGGGGACTTTAATTATTGGGACACCTGCTGGGAGAGAAATATAGCAGTGCACAAGCAGTCCAGCAAATTTCTGAAATGTATGAGGATAACTTTTTGAGATAGATGGTAGACAGTCCAACTATGGGGGAAGCTCTTCTCAACTTGCTGCTCACAATCAGAGAGGAATTAGCTGAGCATGTGAAGGTAGAAGGTAACTTGGGTCACAGCTACCATGAAATGAGTTCAAGATCCTAAGGGGTGAAAGGAAGAAAAGTAGCAGAATAAAGACACTGGACTTGGGAAAAGCAGATGTTAGCAAACTCAGGGAATGGGTGGGCAGGGTCCTCTGGGAGGCAAATCTGAGAGGAAAAGGAATCCCGGAGAGCTGGCAGTTCTATAAGGAAACCCTTTCAGGGGTACAGGAGCAAACTATCCCAATCTGACAAAAGAATGGGAAGTGCTATAGGAGGCCAGCTTGGTTAAACAGCAATCTTTTCTCAATAAGTTGAAACAAAAAAGGAATCCTATAAAAAGTGGAAACATAGTCACAGTATTAGGGAAGATTATACAGCCATTCAGGGAGAAAATTAGAAAGATCAAGGCATGATTTGAGATGCAACTGGCAAGGGACATAAAAGGCAGTACAAAGAGATTCTACTAGTATGTCAAAGGTAAAGGGAAGATCAGAGAAACGAAAGGTCCCTTACAGAATGTGAAAGGCAATCTAGTTACAGATGATACTGAAAAGGCTGATGTATTTAATACCTTTTTTACTTCAGTTTTCTGTGCAATTGGCAGTAAAAATGGGGAAGGAGATATACACCCTAGAGTAGTAAAACAGCATGTTACAGATCACTTGGAGAAGCTAGATGCTTTCAGGTTGGTAGGGCTGGATGAGATGCACTTAACTGAAGAAATTGGCCAAGTGAATTGCAGAGCCGTTAGCTATCCTCTTTGAGAATTCAGAGAGTTTGGGTAAGGTCCTGAATGATTGGAAAAGGACAAATACAGTGCCCATCTTTAGGAAAAAGGAGGAGGAACATCCAAGGAATTACAGACCAGTCAGCCTGACCTTGATACCTAGGAAGATCATGGAGCAGTCCTCGACTTCTATCATGAAGAGCCCAGAAGAGAATAAGGTGACCAGGAATAGCCAGCATGGATTCACTAAGAAAAGGTCATACCTGACCAACCTAATGTCCTTCTGTGATAAGATATATACCTTGACTTTAGTAAGGCTATTCACACCATCTCCCATGACATTCATGTTAACAAGTGAAGGAAATGCTGACTAGATGAAAATACTGTAAGGTGGATACATACTGTATTTATTTGAATACAAGATATTCCCATGCTCCCAATCAGCATGGGAAAAAAAAGCCCCTTGTCTTATAGTCACATACAAGGAAACTTTATTAAGTACTTTGTCATTAAAATGCTGCCAAAAGCAGCATGGGTTTAGTAATGGAAGCCAGCTATGAAGCTGAATAAATGTAGCGAACACTGAGTATGACTAAAATACGTGGCCCATATGGGGAAACATACTGATGGGAACCTTTTTTTAACATGTTATTAAAAACACACATCACCCTGCACTTACAAAACTACACATATGAGGTGTTCTTGTTTTATTAAGACTTCATAGCACAGAAACAACAACATCTCAAAAACATACAACTACGTATATTAAACCCTTAAACAACATACATCAACTTCCCACAAAAAGAACAAACACTTATAGAAATCTTTTTTTTAATACAGAACCCCAAGAATTGTTACCTCAGTAACTACTTG